CTCTTGCCCAATCTATCATCACTGATTTAACTTGTTCATCCTTTGTATGCCACTCCATCAGCTCAGTTCTGTTCTGGCCTGTGAATAAACAAGAGCTGTCTGAAGAATTGCTGCGTCGTCTGATATGTTCACCCACAACTTAACACATAGCACCTTTACCCTCAGCTTGGCCTAGAGGCAAAACACATAATCAGACAAGATGACATACTATTTCAGGGCAGTATCAACATGGGGGGGGTGCATATTTGAATTCTCTGCCTTGTGAAAAAGCAAATCCTCTCAGTGTATACAGAACCTTTTAAAAAAACAGTATTTCTAACAAATGCAATCGCACTGTGGTTACAATGTAAAACAAACTAAAATATTCTAAAAACAAAGCAGATAAACTACCGTACTGACCCAAATATAAGCCACACTTTTTTTCTAAATTCAGGCCGTGAAAGTGCAGCTTATATTCGAGACCGTACCACATGGCTCCCCCCCCCGCCCAAGGAAGCAGCCCAGGAGCGCAGGGCAGCAGTGTGCTGCCTGCCCTTCACTCCCAAGCTTCCCCCAGCTGCCTAAGAAAGGGGGAGGGAGCGGGGGGAGGCCCCCAGCAAAGTGGCACGGCTCCCCCCCCCCCCAGAGAGCAGTCCAGGACAGCAGCGTGTGAGCTGCTGTAAGGAAGGAGGGAGGGAGGGGGAAGAGGGGGAGGCATAGCTCCCTCCCCAAGGAAACAGCCTGGGAGCACAGGGCAACGGTGCACAGCCCACCCGCCGCTCCCAGCCTCCCCCAGCGCTGGCTTGGCAACATAGTGCCGGGGGGGTGGGCCACACTCACAAATAAGCCTTGAATTTTAAAGGTGCGGCTTACTTGCGGTGCGCCTTATATTCGGGCCAATACAGTATACAGTGGTACCTCGGGTTAAGTACTTAATTAGTTCTGGAGGTCCATTCTTAACCTGAAACTGTTCTTAACCTGAAGCACCACTTTAGCTCATGGGGCTAATGGGGCCGCTGCGCTGCTGCTGCACAATTTCTGTTCTCATCCTGAAGCAAAGTTCTTAACCCGAGGTACTATTTCTGGGCTAGCGGAGTCTGTAACCTAAAGCGTCTGTAACCTGAAGCGTCTGTAACCTGAGGTACCACTGTAACCAGCCAGCTAAAATAAACATAAATTCTGGCACTAAACTCCCACAAACACTATAACCGGTGTTGGAAACTTAAGGGCCCACCCATATGTCAAGGCTCAAATTTTCCTCCCCAGTGTGTTAGCCTTCCATAGGCAGGAAGGTTCTATCCTTCCTAGGGAACATTTCAACATGTGCCATATACCCAAAGCTGTAATTTGAATTAAATGGTAGTTAAGATTCTGCACTGACCCTCCTTTACAAATGAATGTTGAAATGAATGTTGAAACTTAGGCACCTTTAAGCTCTGTGGTGTTGTGGGCGGGGGCAGGTTTTGATGTTCTGATTGCTGAATGTGAAATACACAGATTCAAATCACTTCAACTTTTCTGCACACCTCCAGCTACAAAAAGATGGGAAGTTGGAAAATACACAGAAATAATAGAATGTCCTAAATTCAGAATATGATTTTTAAAATAGGCCTTAGGTCACAAATTACTGTGCACAATCACACAGGCACGGGGCAGATTTTTGTGTCACTGCACATTTTCTTTAGGCTCTAATCTGAAAGCAAATCAAAATGAAATGTCATTTGTGTGACAGCCATTAGGGAAGTAGTAAACATGTCTTAAGACAATATTGCTTCCTGCAATCTTCCAGATTCAATGAAAATCATCTAGTCTAAAACATTTACTTATCTAAGAAAATGCATTATCTTGGCAGGAAAATTAGCATTTTGTTTCCAGATTCTTAATAATACAACAGGCCATCATTTTGCTAAATCTTCCTAAGTAGCGCAGAAGGTACATTTTGCATGCACAAAAAAGGAGGTGGCCAAAATTTTGTCCTATATTCTTTAACTTTGTTAAAAGACCAAAACATAGGCCACACTGTGGGGTGTGAGGAGCTGATTATACTATGAGCTCAATTTCCAGCCAATATTTCATACCCAGTTGTTCTAAAGCAGACATGTTCAACCGGTCGACCGCAGTCAACAGGTAGATCCCCTGGTGATCCTGGTCCATCGCGGGATTAAATTAAATGTGGAATGAATGTCACCGCCCCCTCCCTCTGTCCCTCTGTCGCGTCAAGTGGGCAGAGTTTGGCCTATTCTTTTTTCAATGTGGAATACGCCAGTTGGCTCTAGTACCACGTGTGTTTGCTATCAGCGGAGTTGAAGGTGAGTGTTTTATGTAAATCCCCCATAAAAAAAGGTCAACTACTCTGGTAAATCCTCAATGATCACTGTCAGTTTTTTTATACTGGGAGCAGATCGCAGTCTCTTGGGAGTTGGACAGGCCTGTTCTAAACCAATGAGGCTGCTAATTGCCATTCATGTTGAATGCTTGCAATGCTAATTGAATTATGAAAATTTCCCAATAGAACTTGTCACTTTTGTCTGCACTGTTTTGTCTGTGCATGTTTAAAATAACAAAATCTCATCCGCTGTTGCATATCTGAATTTTTATACATTTTCAAACTTTCTTTGGGATTTTAGACACTGTGGAAGAGGCATCACATGCCTTGCTCTTGAGATGCAAGGCTGCTCAGAATACCGCAGGAGTAAGGCAGGTCACATAGTCCCAAACAGGTCTTCTTAGATCCTGAATGTGATAGTTGAACAGGCTGATCCATTTTGGCCTTGACATTTGGGGGTCTTATCTCACCATTTTAAAAAATAGGAAGAGCCCTGTTGGATCAAGACAAAGGCTCATTTAGTCCAGCATTCTGTTCCCATAGTTCCCAACCAGATGCCCATGAGAAGCCCAAAAAACAAAATTCAAGAGAGGTTTATTTGATAACATATGCACAAATTTGCATATGAATAAGACAATAGCTTGGGAAAGAGATGTGTTCTTTTTCTCTAGCTGATGCAGATGTCACAGCAGGTGAGAGAAGAAGAGGTGAGAGAAAAGGAGGAGTGCCTTTTCTAAGGCACTTGCCAACTCTAGTGTTTGTAGGAACTTTCATTTAAAACAAAAACACTAACACTGATTAACCAGCAGCACTTATTCAGCTGATCAAAAGATAATAAATGGGTAACAGCTATGACAAACTTCCCCGACCTGGTGCCCCCCAAATATTTTAGACTACAGCTCTATCACCACCAGCCAACACAGTCAATGGTGAGGGATGATTGGGGCTGTATTCCAACAACTGGGGCTTACACGGTTGGCAAAGGCTGAGCTATAATATTAGAGGGGTTACAGCCATGTGATGTGGAGTGAATACTGGTTTTTTGCCATTGACACCATTGTGGGATATTTTGACGGGTTTAATGTTTTTTTCCCTAGAGCTGCGCCAAACATTTCAGTGTTTTAAATCTAGGACTCAGCTAGATTGGTATGCATTATATATGCAATATAACAATGTGAAACCAGATGGCGCTGTGGAGTTCCATCTTTCCCTACCGGGTTTCCTTCTATGAGTTTACAATGCATTTAACTGAATTGCTTCTTTGATCCAGCCCTATTCTTCATCAATTGATGAGAAAAGAGATTGCCTCTGAAAACTATCAAAGCAGGAGAGGGGGAATTATATGAAATTCTCATGAGAAGGATGTGTGGTTTTTACTGCACTTACTTTTGAAGAGGACAAGAGGTGTGTGTGAGTGTCCTTTATTTCATTCTACAAAGCATCTCTCTTCCAATCCTGCAGCCTTCCTGGATGCCTTCAAAAGAGATGATTATATAATGGAAGCAAACATTTAGGGCTCATCCACAATGCGCTTGTCCCGTGCCAAGAAGGCATGGGCTGAAAGGTTTTCTGTTTGCCCTGCCACTTTTCCCAGGGAAAAAAACACTCTTTACTGCTGAATCAGAGCAAATGTCAATATGTGGAAAACCTGACTGACATTTGCTCCAATTCAGCAGTAAGGAGCAGGTTTTCATGTGGAAAAGGGAAAGTGTAAGCATGGAAGAGCCCTCACTTGTCCATATCCTTTGGCCACCTTATGTAAGTACAATAAGTGCAAATCCTGATAAACAAATCTAAAATAATTTTCAAGCCTCTTTCATGTCTGGAAAACATTATCTAGAAATTTGAGGGAAAGATTCAAAGAAAACTAGACTTCTCTTTTTCGTATTCACAAGGGAAAGCTGTACTTACGGCCTTTCATAGTTTTAATTTCTTTGCCAGAGTAGATATAATCTGCAGTTTGTGGTGATACTTTGACTGGGTCTTGCCATTCAGCCATCTCTGAACTGTGCAGCTGAGGATTGGACTTGAACTATATGTAACTGCAACTCAAATAGCTTTACTTTCATCTCATGGCAACTTTTCATCACACGTCAACCCACAAAGCAGCTGTGCTGCACACACTTTATTCTAATAAGAGATAAATGTCATTTGATGAAATTCACTTGAAGGGTGTCCTGTTGTAATTTTCTCCCAATACAGCTGTCACAACATATGTCAGAATTTATATATATATATGTTGTTAGTTGAAGTTGAATGGCTAGAGATATTTAGACTAAGTGTTAACAGTTGGTTTCCTCTGTATTACCGTATTTTTCGCCCTATAGGACGCACTTTTTCCCCTCCAAAAATGAAGGGGAAATCTGTGTGCGTCCTATGGGGCGAATGCAGGCTTTCGCTGAAGCGTGGAGAGCGAGAGGGGTCAGTGCGCACCAACCCCTCTCGCTCTCCAGGCTTCAGGAAGCTATCAGCGCTTCGGGCAGACATCCATGGCTGGGGGGGGGGGATAATTTCCCCCCCTTTATTTCCCCCCCAAAAAACTAGGTGCGTCCTATGGGCCGGTGCGTCCTATAGGGCGAAAAATACGGTATTAGTATTATTATTATTTTTATTAGTGCTTCATTATATAACTTCATCATAGAAGGTACCCTGGTGATCATCTAGTCCAACCCCCTGCAATGCAGGAATCTACAGCTATCCCATACAGGGATCAAACCTGCAATCTTGGCATTATCAGCACCATGCTATCAGCACCAAATGAGCTATCCAGGCTGAAGGTAAAAAGGTAAAGGGACCCGTTACCAGTCGCAGATGACTCTGGGGTTGCAGCGCTCATCTTGCTTTACTGGCTAAAGGAGCCGACATTTGTCTGCAGACAGCTTCCGGGTCATGTGGCCAGCATGACTATGCCACCTCTGGCGAACCAGAGCAGCGCATGGAAACGCTGTCTACCTTCCCGCCGGAGACTGATCTACTTGCACTTTGATGTGCTTTCGAACTGCTAGGTTGGCAGGAGCAGGGACCAAGCAACAGGAGCTCACCCCATCGCGGGGATTCGAACCCCCAGCCTTCTGATCGGCAAGTCCTAGGCTCTGTGGTTTACCCACAGCGCCACCCACGTAGTAGTAGTAAATAATATTATTAACAACTACATGAGATGGTTGTGATTGCCGTGTGATTCTGAATGCTCTGTGCATATTGCAGGGTTGTCTTTTCTCTCATTGGAATGTTGTCTTCAACTATAGCACTTCTGTTTCCCCATAAGAATTATGGAAAACCACTTACTTATAGAAAGTACATTCATTGAAACATAGGAAGCTACCATATAGAAGGTCAGACTTTTGTCCATCTAGCCCAATATTGTCTATTCTGGCTGGCACCTGGGTCTTTCTCACCACTTGCTACCTTATTGTTTTTACTGGATAAGTCAGGGGTTCAATCAAAGGCTTTCTGCACGGAAAGCACGTTGGTTTTTGTATTTTGGTTAAAAGGAAAAATGCTAGATATGGTAAGATAAAAGGAGAATTCCCTAGATGCCTAGGTCCTGGTTTGGGGCAAGTATTCATTGATGAGAGACCCCAGCAGAGATAGAAAATCACAAAACATGTGGCAGAGTAAAACATGGAAATATAGGCTGTCAGACCTTTAAAGCCCTTCCAAGTTCCTTCCAAAGTTTCCCACTTCCCTTAGCATACAAAAAGATCATGTTTGGTAAGTTAAAATGGTTTCCTTACAAACTCTCCAAAGGTCCATTTCATGTGCTTTTCCATACAGCAGGAAGAAAAGACAGGTTTCTAAATTATTTGTATAGAAACACAAACATAGTTTGTTTAAGACATGTCGTCTAAGCTTGGAGCATCCAGCTTAGACTTCCCTACTGGTAGGGTTCACATGGTAGAAGTGAAAGAAGAAAGACTTTGGTAACCCCTCCTCCCTGGCAGGACAGCTTACTCTATGGTCTTATCCCCTTTATGCATTGATTAGAGTTAAGCATGTTGGCTATATGAAGCTGATTTATACCACAAAGGATGGGCTCTGCCATTCAGTTAGTCCCACTGGATGTAGGGGGGGAACCTGTTTCCTGCTTCCTGCTTCCTGCTTTGAATAAGGCCTATCCTGGATTCTGCCTCATCCACACCATACATCAAAAGCACATAACTTCCCCCAAAGAATCCTGGGAAATGAAGTTTGTTAAGGAGGGGTGGGAATTGTCGCTCTCTGATGGGTAAAAAACAGTTCCCAAGGAAATAATGTGCTTTAAATGGTATGCTGTAGATGTGGCCCAGTGTTGGAAATTTACTTTTAACTGAAAACTATCCTGAATCCTATTATTATTATTATTACTATTACTGTTGTTGTTATTGTTGTTATTATTATTATTATTATTATTATTAACAGCAGCAGCAAACAGAGAGAGTATTGTTTTGATCCTGCAACTTGCTGTGGGATCAGGACGCTTTACAAAATACCAAGAGGGTACATTCTACTTTGATGTGTGCATTTGGACTGTGTGAACATGTTGGAAATTACACGGCCTATGATCCAGCCAAGATTATGTGTTTAGCTTCCTCACTGAAATCAATGGGATTTAAAAGTGTTTACATTTTTGGCCGAATCATGCACATGCTTTCCAAGTGTAAGACAGATGATATTTATTGTTTTCTTTACTGGCCATTACATGTTTTGCAAAAAAAATTAGTGTCAACAGGACACAAAGCTTCTAAGAACATTGGAATTTAACCAGCATATTGAAAGGCAACATTTGTCAGGATCCTTGCCCCCAAGTTCTGGGACACCTCCAACCATTGATTGAATAAGAATAATTAGTACATTATTATTTTATTTATACCCCACCCATCTGGCTGGGTTTCCAAAGCTACTCTGGGCAGCTTATCCAACATAATAAAGCATCAAACATTAAAAACTTCTCGATAGAGAGCTGCCTTCAGATATTTCCTAAAAGTTGTCTACTTTTTTAGTTCATGAACAGCAGAGAAGCAGACTTTGGCGGTTGCATGCATTCCAAAAAGACACCGGACACAGAAAAATCATTAGCAGAGGTTTACTAAGGCATAATTCTTACAGTTTGTTGCCAGATTCCTGGCAAGACACAACTTGGCTCCTTTTAGAGCAAAAATCTAGTTTCAGCATAAAAATTACACCACACATTTATAAAATGAAAACAAGAGATAGTCAGTGAAAGAATGAGAATGAGAAACTGTTCACTGGGCAGCAGATATACACTTCCCAGTGACCCTGGCACTTAGATAAGGCACCCAGTAGAAAACAACAGCTGCTTGGGTTGAGCACAATGGAAAGTTACAGACTCACTAGAATGCTGCTCTAGCATCTTCTGGCTTTTGACTGTCAGCTTCTGCACATACACAAAACTTCGCTCCATGGCAGCTTCATCATACTTTCGGGTCTGGCCTTGTATGCTCATGTTTTCATATTACTATATTAATGTAAATAATGTAACAAAACCAGTAGGCTTATTTACAAGACAGAGTATCCACAGGGAGCATTCACATTGCATTTATTTATTTATTTATTTATTTATTTATTTATTTAGAATGTGATAAAACAGGACTAAGACTCTGCACGAATCTCAGTTTGCTACCTACTTCCCCAGATTTGCACATAATCAGGCTAATGAGATATTTTTATATATGAAAAACAGCTTGGCTGTCACAGTGACCAAATAGAAATGGTTATGCATTCTAATGCTGATTAAATAAATTGCAAGCAGCTGTTTCTTTGGCCTGTGGAATCACAAAAGCAGGAGTTTGCTACAAACATAGCCAATTGTAAAATAAAATGCTCACATCATAAGATAGAAGGTGGAAAGGCACTTTGTAGGTTCTCCAAATAATTATAAATTAATTTATTTGATCTCTTTAAAAAGAAACCTTCCATACAAAAATGTCTCTGAGCTCAGGTGCATATTTATTAAACTGAGTATGAGCACAGCTGTTTGTAGATAATAGGCATTTCTTCTGAGGCTGCTTGATATTTGTGTTCTTTAATTTGTGCCACTACTTGCCTTCAATTTGGGGTTTTATTTTTGGCATGGTTAACATTGTGCATGCAGTACGGACAATTTCATTGCAGCAAAACTGTTGCAGGGTTGCTTTTGTCTAACCTGCAGCAGGCCTGGCCATTTTGGCTTGGTAGGACCTTGAGTAAAGACCCCGAGAGTGCTCTGAAAAGACCTCATCAGTATAATTTTCTCAGTACAACCACACACAACCGACTGACAAATTATATCACAAAAATTACAACAAAAGAATTGCTTCAAAATACATGGAATTCATCCACAAAAGCTCACATCACCTTGAGAATTTATGGGTGCATAATAAATAATAGCATCACAAGATCAATTCTAGTGAATTGAGCTTTTCAAAAAGGAACATCATGAGGGTTAATACCGCTCCCCCGTTTACACTTTCAAGCCCCTTCAAGTTCATTCTATTTTAGGGATTACCAAAATAGCTGGTGAAAATGGGCTTCCCATTTTTGGTCAGCTCTAATATCATCTGGCAATTCAGAAGATTTTTCTTTCACTCATTTAATTCCCCCCCCCCCCCTCATTTAAATCAAAGTATCATTTACAAACATCCTACTTCTACATGGGAGCTTGTGTGAATTCTAGTTTTCAAGTGCTGAATATCTCACAATAGACTATGTATTTTGGTGTGCAACAGTCCTGCATCCTATGCTAATATATATCAGCAAAGGCTTCTCTGAGACTATCCAGATGTTAGTTAGGTCAGCCTGATTTACTTGCTGGGTGATCTTGCGTTGCCAGGGAACGTTGAGGATGCAAAGGGTAAAGCGTGTTCTCCTTCATGGAGAACACGTGTTGCGGTGGGGGCCGCCAGGACACTCCAAAGTTGGGGGGCGGGCTAATTGATCGTTGGCCACTGATACAATTGGGGCTTCCCTTGTTGTTGGGAAGAAGTTAATGTTGCCATTTTTTGATTGACAGCCAGAAATAGTAAAACTCCTCGCACGAGGCTAGGGCTTCCTCTTTTCGCCCGTGCATCAGATTGCCCGTCCCTCCCTCCCTAGAATAGGGTTGTTCGCTTTGACCTTGCTATGCCTGTCATGGGGTCGTCTGCTTTGGAGCGGGGGCCTGGTAGGAATTTTGTTCATCTGGCTGATTGGCTGGGGCCATTTGGTTTTTGCCTACTGCGTAGCAAATCGTCACAACTTGTAAGGTTCGCGGTTAGGCATTGGTTTATGGTTTGGTTGGTTGAGGGGCATGGATTGGCTGTGCCTGCCCCTCTAATGCTGCTGCTGCAAGGGATTCCGTTAAAGGAATTGGGGGCTAACTATTGCTTGTCCACTCTGTCAAGGGGGCTCAGGCCATAGCAATGAGCTCCTGGTTGCATTTGGGGAGGGCTGAGGGCAGGTTCCCTGCTCCGCGTAACCCCCAAGTGTATTCCCCCATTCTGACTTTCGCATCGTGCGGAATGTCAGTCTGTCCCCCATGGTGAGGGCAGATAGTCGCAACCAATGCCTACGCAACCACTCACAAATTTGTATTTTAATAAAGTTGTGGCCAAAATTATGCCAAAAATCTTAAACAAAAACTTCTGTGTGATGTGTGAGTTATTGGGGTGGACCTGGGGACCGCGACACGCAAACAGCAGACGTGAAAGCTGTTGAATTGCTTCCCTTGGAAACTTCAAGTGGTGTGTGCTTTGCTGCCGTATAGCAGAACACTCAAAATAAGGTGACATTACAACTCTCTTAATTCATTTCACAAG